TCAATTATACAAACCTTATTTAGTTCTATATGTCATTCTACACATTGATTTGACTGCCTATACAAGTGAACGAGTAATGTGCTTATTTTTTTTTTCAAAAAAAAACAAGCTAATAGATTTTTCTCAGTCTGTTTCTCTTACTCATTTGTTTCATTGAAAATAATATCGGATTAAGATTATGTTTAAATATGAAGAACGCATTCGAAGAAATGTCTTTCTAATCTTGGAAGAATAGCACAGAGTATATGTAGTTATTCTTGTCTAATTTAATCTCCTTACTTTTAGCTGTTTTCCTCCTCTTCGATCGATGCTGACAAGGTATGAAATGAAAAGTGAATTAGTCAGAAGAGTAATTCCGAGCTCATGATATGTCGATGCGAACAAGCTTGAATGGGAAAAGGAGGGAATGTTGCGAGGAAATCGAAGCAAAATTGTGGTTTTTTCTTTTGATGGATTTCATGTGTAGACTATTTTTCTCTTTGTGATATGTGTGTGTGTTCTTAATGCAATTTCCACGATCTTTTTCGAACTAAATCAATTCTGTCATGAACAATTATTCGAAAGAGAAAGAATAACAAAAGACGAAGGAAAAAAATAACCCGTGCACGCATGTTTCAAAAGAAGATAAGACGTCTCACCGATGTTAACTTTTATTGCTATGATTGTCATCGTCATTTTTGATTAGTTGAATAAGTAAGGAACGAGGACAAAACTTGCATGTGGAAAAATATTGGTTACGATCAATTTTTCTTTTCATCTCCCTTTAGACTTGATTAGAACTACATCAGTTGTCAGAAGAAGAGAAGTCAATTATGACTTGCACTAAACTATCTTTTCAAATTTCGATAACGAAAAAAGAGATTTTTCGTTTTTAACTAGAAGATTAACGAGAGAGGATGAGAAGTGACGAGAAAGAACGACTTGTAGAACTATTAATAGTACTTGACAGAAATCTCTCGAAGCAAATTAATAACGACTTGTTGCTTTATCAGTAAAATCAAACACGAATCTGTGTTTTCCCATTCGACAAATGGCAGCGGCCGGGGAAAAAAAGGAAAATGTTCTTACCTAGAATAAATTCGTGGGGATAAAAATATCAATCGACGGGAAACAGGAGCTAAGATTCATTACTCGAATTCTTTCTTCTTCACTTTTGATCGAGCGTTTCTCATTCTGTTTCCTTTTCTTCTTTCTAACACGAGTGGAAAATATTTAGTCCGTTTATATGTGCATCTTATTCAAAAAAAAAATGATCGACTCAAGACAGAACTGTTCCAACGGAGCTTTCTCAGGGGGATTAGTGTATTATATGTTCTGTTGAGTTTTGCTCTATCTAAAAACATTAATGAGAAAAAAAACGAAGAAGAATAAGAAGAAGTATATAAATAGATCAACAACGACATTAAACATTACTGCAAGAAGTAAAGATCATTGCAAGTAGTGTTTCGATGATAATGATGTTATTAAAAATCAATCATTTCATGCAACTGATCATCTCTTAGACGTCGATCATCTTCGATCATACGAATGTGGAGGCACAGAAAGAAGACTCTCGTTTGATTACCGATCAACAGTTGCGCAGGCATGTTTGATCATTGAAAGGAACTTCTGATTTGAATCCAAGTAGTCTGTCGTCAACTTAAGATTTTCTTGTCGCTTGGGACTGTCAAGATTACTAGCGAATTCATTGTTTGAAGATGAATCTATATACTCCGGCTAGTCTTTCAACTGATGTGCTTCTACTCTTGCCGTTTGAATAATAAATAAATACCACTTTCCTATTGATTTCGTTCACATCCAGTCTTTTGTTCGGTAAGATATGACGACGGCAAGAGAAAGGTGAAACGAATGAGATCTAATCGATTACACCCAAATATTTATTTTACTCACGTGAAGTATGAGTTATCCCACTATCTCTCACACCATTCCAAATGTGATGGCATCGGCTAGAAGAGACCTAGTCCATATCTGACGTAAATAGCCGAATGTTTAGTTAATGTCTCAATGAAATTTATTTCCTAGTTCCATTAACGATGTGTTTGTCTTTTCATGGCAAAAGGATACAATTATAGGACATAACTATGCAGAGAAATAGCGAGACGAATAGTAAATTATATTATCTTGTCAACTCAATATCACTTAGCTATTAAGTAATTCTATCGAGTGTGTATTTTCGATAGATTAAGCAGCTGTTACGAGAGAAAAATAATGAAGAACGATGTTAGTCATCGGTTTTCACTATTCATCGCATATGACATATGTTCCATTGGAGTCATACAGCGTATATTTTTATTCTTTTAAGGCTTACTATTTTTACCATTTGTGACTAGGACTATGAAGACTTTCTCTTCGAACACGGGTGTATTTCTTATTGATTACGAAACATTTCAATTGTTTGTCGGTTATTAAACCATCATCATCTATTGTTTCATTGTTATTCTCTCGAGACGAAACAATATGAGATAAAATCAATCCGACTCACAAAAATTTCTAGCAAATATAAAAAAAATAATTATCTGTCTAACGATTGACCTAATCTTTTCAAACTTGTTCCTTTCCTCGAGCGTACGACGGCGATGAGATCTGCTTCAGTAATCATTTAGGAGCACAGATATCGTCTCGTTTTCAAGATGCAATGATAAGAAAATGTTTTCCTTAGGATATCTTCAACCAAGCCATGGAATACAAATGACACTAGTCAAGTTAAATCAATAATAAAGAGAAATAAGCAACGAATATTGTCACGATTTAAGCAAGCGTTCAAAATTCAATCATGGTTAATCAATCGAAAAAAATGTACTCAACAACACTTGGCAATCATTTGCTATTGATTGCCTTTATATCTGTTTTGTTTTATTATTAATTGATAGAAGACAATGAGAGAGTCGTGTATCTGAAAGGAAATCAGACCTTTCTTTTCCTTCTGCTTTTACTTCGGAATAAAAGTCGTGATGTTTCTTTCCTCTTGTTCTAGCCTTGCCGTCTTCGTCACTATGTTCTGTCTTAGTCAACACTGATCGAACACATACACGCGACTAAGTGCCTCTAGGGTGTAACAATGACTACGCCAAAATGCAAACTAAATCTCTTCTCTTTCGATTCTTTTCTTAGTCTTCAACCATCTCTTCTGTCATCATCAACGTTACATTAATAGATACTATTCGATTAGACCGAACAATGAAGCTACTGACTTGTGAACACACAAATTTCAAAGTGGTCAATTCTGAGCGAGAGGGAGGTTCAACCAAATGACTTCTATGCTTTAGTGCATTTCTGATCGAAAACTGATTTGATGCGGAGTTGTCAAATCGATGCATGTTCGATCTATTGATTAGATTTCATGTTCAATCACAATGTGTGAATGATAAGTTTAACTGCTAGTTATCATAGTTGCTATTGCGTAGAAAAAAAAAGAGAGAAAGACTTCGCTATCATTGAAGTGATATTGTAACTGAGTACAAAGTCGAGAGTTCTCATAGACAATCAAAGGTTGGCATTGGCTTGTGAGATACTTACGTCCATGGTTGATATATTGATTTCGATTATATTATTGTCTGAGAGATAAATGGATGAGTGTAGATGAAGGAAATGCTGGCCAACTGGTCGGTCGTCTGTTCGTTGTGCTTGGCGATAGAGTAATAAAGAGAAGATTTTTCTCAGAAAACGATTTTCTTTGCCACTGGTGTGTCTACAACAATAACGACGATCTAAAGTGAGAAAGCACGGTTTTATCAGAGATCGTACAATGCAAGAAGTAGCGAAGAGAAAAGAGAGAGAGAGAAAGGGGAAACTAAGCTGCCATGAAACGAGCTAAAAAGAGAAAGATTTTGTGTATCTTCTCGTTTTTTGCTTTCCATTTTGGCTTTTTTTTCTTGCTCTACATAAAAAAAGAAAATAACAAGTGAAGACATTCGCCGTTGCGAACACTACTAGCATCACTCAATCCATTCCGCCCCCATTGTCACATATAGATATTGCATATGAAACTGACGCTACTTATCTGAATAAGAAAAAGGAATGTAAACAATATATCGATTAGAAGATCGTCGAAAAGAAGAATCACGAATGCAAAGTCTTCGAAGAAAAGACTCATCATCATTTGCATCGATTCGAACAAAATTGATGAAAAGGATTTAAAATGTGCAACATCATTAACTAATCATTGATTCGATTAATTTAACGTAACGAGAAGTCTCTAGACAGATAGGATTAGCAAAGAAGACCCGAGCTATATGATGACATTCCTCCTTTTGACTCACTGTCTGCATAAATCGTTCCAGCTTTTAGACAGATTGCCTGAAGCAGATGTTCAACTGACAACTTAACATATTTATAGGTCAGACAAGATCGAATATCTCCCTAGATATATGTAGTTTTATGAACTTTGTTTATTTTTTGCACGATGAATCTAAAGAGAAAACAAGTACACTGTACGCGGAATCGATTCCAGCGTTGACAGTTCATTCATCAACTGAAATAATATTAGATATTAAAACTAAAACGATAAGAACAACGACGACGAAAGCGTTTCTCCCAGTTCTCATTAGTATTTTGACATGCGATATAGCTTTTTCTTGTTTTTCCTCTTGAGTCTTCGTTGAAACTGGACTACATTGTTTAGTAAAATTTATTCAGTTGTTTCGTGAAGCTTTTGTTTTCCATCAAAGATTGACTATCGACATGTTTAGACATCTGTAGATTATGGAAAATCAGCTATCTAATTGATTGATATCTCTCTAATGAGAACAACGAGAGATAGTCGCCAACGAAAGGAGATAAGTTAAGGAAAGAAATGTGAATAACTATAGTAATCTTCAGCTCATCTGGTGAAGTATGTTTGACCTCGTGGATGGTCAATCAATATCGAATAGCCATGAAAAAGTGATTGGCAAAAGAGAAGAGAAAGAAAGGGAGAAGAAAAGATAACGGTCGAGAAGGACGAATCATTTCTATTGACCTTATATACGAAGCTCATCTTCTTTCATTCACTTCATCAGAAAATGATGACCCACTTTGTTCACGTCTATGTCTTACTTCTCGGATATTTTCTTCTAAACGATGCGAGTAAACCGGATGATCCTTTGCAAGGTAAACCAAAAGAAATAGATCTTACTTTTCTTTTCAGCAAGCTTTGCTTTATCTAGGAACGAATCCTGTGTGTGCTGATATTTGCGCTTCATCCGAAGCTCATGTCGAATTAGATCTGAGTGAGCCACGGATTCAAAGAGAAAATGAACGTGCTCAAGTTACACTTCATCCGACAGGTAGTGGCCGTTGTCGAGAGCCGGGTAAGCAACCATGAGAGAAAAAAGAACTTCAGTGTAGACATCAAAGAACGGGTCTTCCTGTGATACGTGAGTACGTTTCTTCGGATTAGATCTGCTCGAAGAAATATGATAATTTATGTGTGATCTATTTGGAAAGATCAAGTAGAATTAAGATAAAACAAAGCAAACTAGCGAAAATTATTTGACATTGATCAGTAATGTAAAAACAAAAGTCATCGCAAATGTAATTACGCATTTTAGCTTTACTGGAAATACCTTTGAGTAAACTCGGGCCACACGGAATTGTCAAGTTTGATCTGAGCTTTGGTCCTGTTTTACATAATTACAGTATTGATATCGGTACGTTACTAGATCTTTCGTCGTCCGTTTCATTCGCAACGGTCTTCTTTTGTTGAAGGATTTACTTATGAAGAAAATACAACAGTTCATAGTGTGAATATCTTTAATCAGCAGGTTTCAATCGAATATCGCTTGAATAACGAACAGCATATTGATATCTCTGAACAATCAGTTACCCTACTTGAACCAGGAGAAGATTTAACAATCTACATATCGAATGAATGGATACAAATTGAAAACAAACTTCGCCAACATCCAAAGTTAACTGTTCAGTTCAATCGAACGGATGCTCTATTTTTCAATCCCAATGCTTCTCATTTATCAGTTGGTCTCAATCGTAATATCAATGGAAAGCAAACTGGTATCGGTCTCTGTTTCGCAAACTTAACATTCATCGAATGTTTTGCAGATAAAGGTATGTTCAACTTTAGGAGAAGAAAGATCGCGGACATCTTATTCAATTTAGAATCTGCATTGGACATCGACGTGAATAACAAAACATATGTGCAGCGAGATCTTGAAAATATCAACTGGATTAGTCATTTAACATATCTTGATCCGAATGCTGATGTTCGAGAATGTACCGCACAAGGTTTGTCGATGGATTAGCAATGTATTTTCGATTGTTCAGAAATCGTTTAGGTGTTGTTCGATTAACTTTTGATCCGTTTGGATCACGACGTATTGCTCGATTTGATCTAAGCATGGGCTCACAAATTCACGGTTTTACATTTAATATCGGTGATTCAGCCACCAATAATGGCTACGGAGGTGATGGTGGCACAACATCGAATTCTGCTGAAATTCACTCGAATGATAATCGATTTTATGTAAGAAACTTAGTGAACGAATGCATCAATCGATCGACGATTTCGTTTCAGATTTGGGCAAATACAAAAATATGTGGCGATACACTTCTCTTAAAGATCGACTATAATGTTATTGAACCATTCGACAATATAACAATTCTTGTTAGGTAGATCGTTTTCATTATTGATCAACTTTGTCTAATATCTGTCTATGTTTAGTAACGAACGAGTTGAACTAACTAACCATCGGTCATATCATCAAATACTGTCTAATCCTTATTTATATGCACTTGCGAGACAAAATGTCACGTGTAATTGGTAAGAAAATCAACATCCTTTCGTAATTTATGTCACGAATATGTTTTCTAGTTTCGATTCGCTTTGTTATCCTGGTGTTCAACCTGATAATGATATCTATTTCGGTATCAATCGCGTTATCGGCGGCACTTACCGACCAGGCACTGGTGTGTGTGATGCAAATGTCAACTGGATTCAATGTAAAAAGATCGGTAGGGCAAAAGCGACAACTAATCAAACGATGAAGTCTTCCATGGCTAATATTTTTGTTTTGCAGATGTCTCACCACGAAATAAATATGAACCAGTCACTACACCCGAACTGACAACAACAACAACAACAACAACAACTATCATTTCGAGTACAATACCAATCGATATCACAATGAAGTTACCCGAGCATTCAACTGAAGTAATAAATCATATGGAAATAAGTTTGTTAACAATGACTACGGAAGGAAATAATCAAAATGACACATTGGCATCAATTGGATCAACGATGATTTATTCCGATGAAACAACGACCGAACAACACATCATCACTTCGACGGAAAACCAAGTTGACTATATGACAACCACTGATATCGATACTCGCCAACCGATTGAATTGACAAGTCAATTATCTAGTGTATATGAAGCGACATCGTCAACACCACGTCTAATTCATTTATTAACTAATTCATCACAATTTCTAACGACCGAAGAAATAACTCAACGTACAACAGCAACAACAATAACAACAACTGAAATTGCAACACGTAAGATGAACACACCCGTCTATTCTCTTCTTCTCATTTGATCTTTTTAGACTTAACAACCAGTTTCAATCCATGTACATTAGAAAATCTCCGTGCTAACTTTGTCTACCATGAATATCCATTAGATAAACACAAATTCGTCTTTTGCGATAGTGAAGGTAAAATGAACATCATCGCCTGTTCGCCCAATTATGTTTGGTCTCAAAGTGAACAATCATGCGTTTTGCCTGGATGAAAAACTCTTCTTCATTTCTCTCTTTTCTTTGTCTGATGTGTTTGTTGAATTGATTAATAAAGTCGAATAACTATTTGTGTATCTTACTCTTGCGCGGGTACAGAAACATACAAACAACAATTACGCACTTCGCTATGTGACACTTATGTCTAGGATGGACCATAACAACTTCCGATGAGCGAATCGATGTAAAAATGCGAGATAATAGGCAGATAATATGGTGACCAATCAGCGATTCTTTTCAGTCAATAGAACAGTCGTGCAAGTAACATTTCCTTCATATCAAAGGACAGAAGAATCACTTGAATGAATATTTGAGCTATTTTTCAAATAGATCTAGTCTAAGAGGATGTGTTCAGAGAGAAAAGGCTGCACTTCATTTTTGATCTATTCATTAAAATTTCATTACATTCTTTAAGTGTATGAAGTCACTCGTTGGCTTTTATTCGATGAGAAAAGACAAAAAACGTGTACTTTACATTAAGAGTTGCCATTAAAGTTGAGTTTCGGAAAATTTACAATTAACCAACTTGTTGATGCAATTAGAATAATCCGATGTGCTGAAACCCGATGGCGCGCATATCGACAATAGAATTCTTTGTGATACACATTCATATGACGCCAGAAAGCACCCCGAGACAGGTACATCACCGAGCCAAACGACGCCAAAGAAAAGAAGAATGTTGAAAGTGGACAATACGGAGGCAGATCATTCGTTTGTGTTGTATAAACGAAGAGAATAACGGTATGAGTCGCGATTATATTAGTTAGATGACACGAATCGAAGAAGAGGTGGATAAAAATCTTTTCAGGAAACAAACTATTTCGAAAGTGTCGTTGAAAGATAATATTCCATTGTAGAATACCAGCAAACATACCGAAGGCGCATATTAGAACACTCGTGAAAGCTTGGAAATCGTTGCTGATTGGGGTGTCTTCATCAAACGATGACAATAATCGACGATAATCAGAAAATTGCAGATCCATTTGATTGATGACCGAGTCATTCGTCGTAGAATTCTTATAAGCAATTTCTTCAAATTTCATCGTCATCATCATCAACGGTCTAAGTTGAGAAAATGCTACGTTAGAAGATTAACGTAGAAGGAACCGTCTTTTTCTTTGCCAATTAAAAAGAAAAATCCAAGGACGAACAGTATTTCAACAAGTTATGTGAAATAACTATCAGATATTCGAATATCAATGAATAATCAGTCATACAAAAGAAAAAGAATAGCAAATCTCGTGTGTGTTTTTTATGCGAGAATTTGTAACCACGTCGACTAATGAGATATCTCAGAAATTAGAAAATGCCAAAATAGACTTTCACTGTAATGCTTCCTTTTTTTCTTCTTGTTTCTGATGATAAAAAAGGTATCGACGTGCAAGTCGTTGTCTTCTTGGAAGTCGCTCCAGTAAATCTACATCCTGTTAAAGAATATAGAAGAATCTCATGAAATAAGATACATTTAAGCAAGATAGTCTCGTTAGAAAGACCATCAAGGAGATATTATCGTTCACACGGCTTGCACCAATCGAACTATTACGTGAGATTTAGTAAAACTTTGGCTTCTGTAAATTACAAAGGACTAATGTCGCATATTTGTTCACTCACGGCGATTGTTAATAGAAATTAAACGCCTACAGAGACGCCCTTCAATAAAAATTCTATTCCTGCCAGTGTTAGTGCATGATTCTGTTTTTTTGGCATCATTCTAATTGACTTCTGAAAGTATTTTATTAATAGCAATCTAATGTTTAAAAAGTAATAGCAAGCATTGAAACTATTATTTTATTTATTAAAAACTTTTTCATGAAGCAGAAGGGAATTTTAAATAAAGATAGAATTTGTTGTCAAAATGGAAAAATTGATCTATTGCATCGTTGTTTCTTACATCGTCATTAGAGGAATGATGAGCTCAAGACACTGATTACGGTTCTGCCACAAAAAGCAGATATATCGAAAAAATCTCCTGATTTATCAACACAATAACGAATAGGAAATCTTTCGATGAACTGACACATTACCAATTATCATAATTTTACGACAATTTTCCTGAATTTTATAGTTTTGACAACTGTGATGGTAAATAAAACGCTAAAGACGTATATTTTCTCATTTTCACAATACGCAAATTTTTAATTGTATGCTTTGTATTATCCTCAACCACTGTTTGCTTTTATTTGTAATGCTTCATGGCCGAATGAAGTATCGATTCAATCATGCACTTGTAGTGGCGGCGCCAAGGGAGGGGGAGTCTGGCGAGGGCTTAGCCCCCTTTAAATAAAAATCCTGACGCCGCTTCTGTGTACTTGGGAATGTGTTTATGAATATAAATGTCAGCCAGCTGTGTATTACAGAAAAGAAAGGATCTTTTCAATGTTCGCTGAATTATTCAATATCAGCCATCTTCAGTCGTCTGGACATGTGCAAGCAATGTAAGATACCTTGGACACGGATTCGACTTTTTCTTGAACGGATTCACACACGAGTGTATTCCAACTCTGATCATATTTGTTCCAGACGGAACTAAGTGTGCTCTATCTATTCCAATCATTAAAACAATTTCACCTACCCTCACCCTCACTACAAAACTTTGTGAAACTGTTTATAAATCAATACCTGCTTCTCGGAATAAGAGTGTCCTTCTTGTCTTTAACTACACTCTCATCCTCATCTGAAGATAATTTTGATGACAATTTTAATATACGATTCGTTAGAGTGATATTTAATAAAAAATAAATAAATAGACATTATAGATTATACTTGATGAAGAACTATTATTCTATATTTTATCGGTCTTCTTAGCCGTTGCCAATAAGAAAATATACATATAATTGTCATTTATTTTGTTGTATATTATTTTGTTTGAATAAAATCTACATCTTACAAAGATTTTACATATTCAAATAAGAAGAATACTACGGTGATTATATTAGTTCGTTGTTTTATTTATTGTGGTATTTGGATAACAACTTTTCCAACATGTTGTTGTGACCATTGATATTCATAAGCACTTTTAACATCTTCAAATTCAAAAATTTTATCAATAATTGGTTTAATATTATTTGCTTCAATAGCAGCATTCATTGCCTTGAATTGTTCAACACTACCAATGAGAACTCCACGAATAAAAGCATTTTTTTTTAGTACATTCATAACCAATTCGGATACAGTTATATCAGATCCATTCCCCTGACCAAGAAATCCAATAACATGAATGGTTCCATTCATTGCAATTGCTTCAATTGATTGTTTTAACGTATTCGCTCCACCAACTTCGAGAATATGATCAACACCTCTTCCATCCGTTAGTTCTTTTGCTCGCTTACCCCATTCAGGAACTTCCGAATAATTAATTGTCATAACATTCTTTTCTCCTAGATGTGTTTTAATAGCGTCAATTTTCTTATTGGATGATGAAGTTAAGATGACTTTTGCTCCAGCTGCCAATGCAAATTGAGCACCAAAAAGGCTTACACCACCAGTACCTTGGAGAAGAACAGTTTGACCAGGTTTTAATGCTCTATCCGTCACTCCATACAAAGCATTCCACGCTGTTAGAGCAGCACAAGGTAACGTTGCTGCTTCTTCGTATGAAAGTGAAGTTGGAATTTTCACACAACTTAGAGCTCGAAAATTTCCATATTGACGAAGACAACCATCAAGTGCACCTCCAAGAGCGGATGAGAGTGCTCCTTCTGAGATTTGTCCTCCAATATGATCTTGAGTAAAATTAGGTGAAACACGATCACCAATTTTCAAATGTGTAACACCTTCGCCTACAGCTGTAATCTCACCAGCTCCATCAGATGTTGGCACAACATTTGTTTCCATTGGTAATGGATATAATCCTTTACTAATGATTAGATCTCGATAGTTAAGAGAACAAGCATGAAATTTGATTTGAATTTCACCTGGATTTGGTTGAGGAATCGATGATTTGTGTAATTTAAGTGAATCAAATCCTGAAGTATCAGCTAATCTATATTCTTGATTAGACATTTTTCAATTGAGATCGACGATAAAAGCGATGTGTGCTTATACGTATACAAAGTTGAATGTTTACTAATAAAAAATGTGTTCTTTATATACATTCTATGATTGACGTCCTTATGCACCTTTAGTATACGAAAAGTAAACATTGTATCGTGCACAAAAAAAATTATGCAGCGTCATGCTCCGTCATGTGACGTTTCTCATTCCAATTAAACGTTAAGTTTTGACAAAAAAGAGTCAATTTTATTACTCCTGTAATGATTCCCATTATTGATCTTCATATGCTGTTCATTTACTCAAATGTTTAATAAATTTCTTAGCATATAGATGTGTCAGTCAACGTTTAGCGAAATCTCATAATCATAATAAGCACTGGCTAATTGTTCATAAATAGCTGCTGGTAAATCAGGGCCCGCGTGGAGGTATCATTCTTCTCTTCATCCATCCACACCATCACCCACTTGATTCAATTTCGACACAGTAGAAGCGACTTGGTCTTGTTCCTAAATGTAAAATTCTCTGCTTTAGAGAACTCAAATCGCAACTGAAGTCAAGTGGAATTTTCTTTTTTCTTTCGATCTTTCGGGTAGATTTTGTTCATATAAGGACATATCGCGACATAAGGAGTGGCAAGTACATAATCAAAACTATAAACCAAGAAAGCAAATATCATTGCATTGAGTCATAATTTTATCTCTTTCATTGAAATATTTTTGGTTTCTTACAGTAATTTGCGTTTCTCTCTGAAACAGCGCCGATTCTGAAAAAATAGTTTAGTTTGAATAGAGCACGTTGAGTTCTACTTGGACCGCACGCCAGAGCTAATCCTCGCACAAAATACTCAAATCTTGTGCCAAGATATCCTAGATATTTCTATCAGTCTGGACAAGTCCCAACTCATCACGATAAATTCTCTTCAGCTCAACTTCTTCGACTGAATCAAACAATTCACAGTGAATATCTCTGTTTGATTTAAATGAGACATCCATAAATCAACAAAAATCTTTGGATTGCTTTATTAACCCTTATGACTCAGACCATCTTCACTAGAATCTTGATGTTCAGAGAAACAATGCTATTCATAGGTAACACAAAAAACGCTTGAATATCTTCCCTGACGATATTTCACGTTCAATCTATTCTAAGTCTATCATCTTCCCTATCGATAGAAAATTTCTGTGTTTTATTTGTTTTTCTTCAATGAAATCAAGACGACAAAAGATTATCTTCACTTTAAATCCAAAAACAACAAAGAAAAACACAATATATTCACGTAAACGATGGCGGGAGATGATATTTTTCGCTGAGCTTCTTCAGCATCTGTGAACTGATGATAACACCTTGCTCGCTTAACCCAGGTCAAACAATCCGGCCAGTTCCAGGACCTTCCGGAGATTTCATGGAAGCAGTGTTCTGGTGACTAAATCCTGTCATCGAATTTAACCGGGTTTTTTTGGGGGAACCGACAAGAAGCTGCCATAATCGATAGTCGGATACGATCCCCGATTCCCTGAGCGGAATTTCAGGCACTTTCCGATGGTATCCAACGCGAAAAATATAGATATCCTGCAGGTATTTACCGGAAATAAGCGAAATACTGCTTCCAGGAACCATTGCCCTGGGAATGCTAGAATTTCCTTGGCAAATTCCGCCAAAAGATCTTTCGTATTTGACTCATCCTAGAAAGAAAAACAAAATTAAATCTTTTTCTACATGTCCGATCCAAAATTCTTCGAAAGATGTCGTAGTCGACTAACCCTAGCTCTGGACTACTTTCTTAGATGGCACGCTTGCTCCCATCTCTGCTAATTTCTTGTACATGAATGTAATTCTAAATCGACTTTTTGGAAATAAGCTTGCTTTCAAAAAAAGATTGAGTGAGAAAATCAACACAGATGTTTTTGTTAGCCTGACAAAAAATTGACGTTATATTTAGCACAAATAGAGAATAGAATAAGTTGGTTGTATAGAAATATTCTTTATTCTCGTGAGATGCCGTTAATTTGTCCAAACGGGAAAAGCGGATCCTGAAGCATCATCATAGGTTCGCCAGATCCTCGTGGTTCCCGTTTCCTGAAGATACTACGAATCCTGTTTGATCCTTGTAGAGTTTTACAAGGTTTACAAATATCTACAGAATTAGTGGAGATTTTTTGTGCATTGGCGTTCTCCTGGATCAACATACACATATTTGCCTTATAACATCTACTATTGAGTAATACCAAATACAGGTAGTGATCTATGATTTAATCCTTTCAGTTCCTATTTTTTTCATGAGAATTAGAACCTTTCCTAGGAAAACTACTTAACGTATTCCATGTTTCTTTAGTCTTCGTACACTTTTTCTCGGTCAAGATGGGCCGATATCGATATATGTCGGTCTTTTTTTAAATAGAAACGCTTAAAGATTTTGAACTGATATTTTAGCCAATCGTTCGTCTTCCGAAGGCCTTTGTGTAGCCACAAAATACGATAATCTCTTCATTTAATGTGGACTAACCATATGAACTACCATTCTATGTCTCTTTGCTCTTGCCACTGCGACAGACATGAAAACCTGTTAATAACAGAATGATGAAGAACCTGCGAAGCCAAAGGCGTTCTCATAGTATATATCTACGCAATTTGAAAGTTTCGAGTTAAAACTCAAATTCAGGCGTTTTGGTGATTGGTATGTATGAGGATCTGAGTGAAGCTACCGTGAAGAGTTGTGTCAGATATTCTGCAGATCATGAGTGCGAGAAGTAGGTCATGTCTTTGAAAACCATATCCTGCAGTATCACCCTACAGAATATATGACGCTATTGTTTCGCCAACATAGACACTCATAAACAGAGTAAAAAAGCAGCTAACTTTTTTTTCATGTGATTCTACAGTTGAGAGAATTAGGATCCGAAGACGGCGGTGGTTCCAGTGAACGTAAGCAAATAGTTTTACTTTTTTTGTCTGGATTCAGGACACTAGGAAAACTTTAAGTTAGTCTTCAGATACGAAATAAGATATGTAAAATACAAACGACTGTTGCAAAAATAACAAAACAATGAGCGTTGCTGTCTCGCTTGATGATTTTTCTTGTATGGCTCTGTTTTCATAGACAATTTACTCATCTACTATATGATTATGGTACGGCACAATAATTCCTACTGTGAATTCTTACGGATCCTGCTAGATCCTAGGATCTATGAGGTTCTGCTTTTCCCCTTTGCTTTACTAACATCTTCGGTTTTAATGAATGAATCTAGTTCAGAATTTAAATGACTGGATATTGCTTCGAGATAAATTGGGTTAATTAAGTTCAATTAACAGAGAATATCATGATTCTCACAAGTATATTTATAGCATATCATCTAATTTTAAAATACTCAATTCAGGCGTATCAGAGGAATGCCAAAAACCGTTTTTTGGCTACAAATTTTCGCTTCAATGATTAAGCAGATGAATCTGAGTAAAAAATTTTATCGAAAGTAGACACATTTGATGTTTATTTTTAGCCAATTTAGTAGAGCATCCATAAATGGTTGACTTCTTCATCTCAGTCATAGAAATCATCTGAAACGTTCCTGCCTACCAAATATCAATTCGAATTCATTGGTCGTTCCCATTTTCAACAGCGAACATGACAATGCATCGAAAACTTGTTACATTCTAGGTCGCTTCCACGGTCTCTGTTCATATCATGTAAAACATATACTAGTTCTGAGTTCTACTATTAGCGATGATAGAAACTGTAGTATAAAACTCAGTACATGAAACCATCGTGTTATAAAAAAGTTACTCGTGTCGAATTCAATAACAGAAAATTGTTTTGGATAGTGTATTTGACGAGATATTAATGAGAGAATATACACGTTCAAGAACAGATGATCGTTAAAATAAAGATATATAGTTCAGTATCAGCAATCTTTGGAATTTATATGATCGTGTCAGAAAAACATGAAAAATCATGTGTGTCTCTTACTGATTAAAATAACTCTCTACGTCATTTTCTCCCTCATATCTCGAGTTGACAGTTTGTGATGATCGTTTTTTTTGAAAATAATTTATTTCTATCAAAAACAAATACAAAATTTAGATTATTTTCATGTCAATGCAAAGCTTTATTTCTGAGATAATGAGAAGTCACACGCAGAATTTACAATTCACAAGTCTCTTTCATGTATTCTCTAGATTAGTCGCTCAAAATATTCATTTGAAGTTATTCAATCCACGATGAGCACGACTATCCGACCAACTTTCAATCGCACAAGAAACTCTACAAGACGCCCGTCTTCCGGAAATGGCACTTCATCAAATAGTTCGAATTACACTTCTCAGCACCAGTGGCTCGATGAAAGTCCGGAAATCTTATTCTATCTTCTGACGAGTTTAATCATTCCATCAATTGTTTGTTTTATCTTTATCTTCCACAGTTTTATTCGTTTACCGGTGTTACGAGTTAAATCATCGAATCTTCTGATCATTTGTTTGTTGATTGTTAATTTTGTACATGTAAGTTATACGNTGGCTCGATGAAAGTCCGGAAATCTTATTCTATCTTCTGACGAGTTTAATCATTCCATCAATTGTTTGTTTTATCTTTATCTTCCACAGTTTTATTCGTTTACCGGTGTTACGAGTTAAATCATCGAATCTTCTGATCATTTGTTTGTTGATTGTTAATTTTGTACATGTAAGTTATACGATTGAACTGCAATGAAAATGACAAATTCATTGATTTAGATGTTAATCGATTTACCAATTCGATTGTATTTTTTCCATGAGAATGAAGTTCCTTTCCGAAATTCATTCTTTTGTTTATTTTGGACATGGTCCGACGCCATATTAACCGCTGTCGATCTGTTCATCATGGCATTCGCATCAATTGAACGATACATTTTTGTTTTTCGTCACATTCTCCTTCGTAATCATTATCGTTTACTCTATCAACTACCAATGGTCTTGTGTTTCGCTATACCAATCATTTGGTACACAGTTTTAATATTTGGCTATCCATGTCAACAGACGTT